TTAATAGACTCAATTCAAATCAATTAAATAAGCCTTTTAAACCCCTAAATTGTCATATATTCGGGGGATACGTCCCTTGGACCACTTTCGAAGGGTTTTCAGCGACGCCCGACCACGCCCACATTTTTCTCGTCGGGGACATCAGCTCCCCGTCGGGGACCTTGGATCCCCCGTCGGGGAAATCCTGGCGCCGCCACTGTCTGAGCCGCCCCTTACAATGCTATTTCAAATATTATGTTTACAAATGACTATAAAAGGATACTGAATACTGAACCAACAGTTCTACCTCCCATCCAAACGAAGAGATAATGGACCATTCCGCTAAGCCTCAACCCTTGAATATTGTGCCAACAAAATTTTTAAAAATAAATAAATAAATCAATCAATCAATGGAAAGTCATAAAAAATAACAACCCTAGTTAGATGCCTGGAAATAGCATCTGGTAACACTGCCCCTCCTCCATGATTTAAAGTTAGTTAGCAACTAGATACCCTACCCATGCTCTGCATGGTTTGGGAAATGTGGGCAAGTTTTGCTAAAAACATTAAAAAAAGTTTTAAATTAATTTATAACACGAGCTTGAAATGCATAGGCTAATAGTGCATTACAAAATACGCATATGGTGAAACAATCGAATGACAATGAGTTAAACAAATTAATAAATTTATGTAATTTATAGGTAATAGTGGTCCATTCGGCAAGTCATTTAATACCTCCTTGGTCCGGCCAAAGTTGGTGCGGTTTCAAGGGCCCTGCTTGTGTACTACCTAAATCTAATTAGGGAGACCAACCTTGACGGTTTACTTTTTTGGAATCCCTTCTCAGCACCGTTTTCACCTGTAGTTTTATTTTGTTTGTTAAGCTTGTTTTATAAGAGAACATGAATGAAATGACATATGAACTTGGTTTGATATAGGCCTAAGAGGCAAATCCTGATTAAATGTAGGCCTACACACAGATATATAGGATCTGTTGACTATATAAGGTAAAATAAGCCCAAACTTTGGTCAGCAGATTATAGTACAAATGCAGTCGCGGATCCAGGAATAATTCAAAGTAGGTCGGGGGGGGGGGAGCGCCACAAAATGGAGAGTCTACACCTCTCAGCACCACCATGATCGGGAGCTGAGGTCAGAAGATTTATGATTATGGCACCTCTAGATGGCCGGAATTGGCACTCTCAGACTTAAATTTGGATATAAAAGTAGCACCCCCTCCCCCCTTACCCGTTCAATCCGCCAACTGCATTAGTTTTTTTTCTACGTTTCATTACAGAGTGTGGTTTGTATGAACTCCTCTCCCCACCCTTTCCTGGATCCGCCACCTAAAACATAATGAATATAAGAATACTTTGACTTTGAGGACGTATGGATTTTCTTTTTTTCCCCCTTTTCTTTTTGTGTGAAAGTCAGTGGCCGACAGTGGCAGTAGAAGATGATGGAAGACCTCTTCGTATTATGCTGTCATTCGTAAAAATAATTGAATACTAATGGTCGTTGTTGTCAACTTCAGGTGAAGTTTAATTCACGCCTCTGGGATGAACAACACAGAAGTAGTCATTCCCTCGAACTCTAATAATTTTGATTGCTTTTATAGAGTTTATTTGAGAGAAATGCCTAATAGGGTTAGTTAACCTTTACAAGACAAGATACATTTCATATAAATTAAACTGATGCTTATATTCCTTTATGTACCGGGTACATATTTTTAGTTTCATTCATCTATTTACATACCCCGTAGTTAAAAGTGCATGTAGAACCTGCATAATAAATGCATGATACTTCTCAACTTAGGTCGAGTTATATTGTATATCTTTAGCTTAGAAATACTTTTACACTATGAAGTGATAAATGATGATATCGTCATTCGATGGGTGGTGATTATTTTTTAGTAGGGGAAAAAAAAAACTATGTTTGTTTATTATGCTATAACGTCTTAACTAATAGTTAACAGCTCCATGAGATACTTGGTCTTTCATTTAATATACACTACTGCATCCTTACCCCCTCCCCACTACGAACAGACAATATTACAGTGTATTATAAAAGACTAAAGGCAACATACATTTATTTTATGTATGAGCAAATCCAAATTGCTCAATATTTATTTAAAGAAAATATTTTTTTGCAAGAACATTAAAAATAAACTACAATAATAAAATCACATCAAATTGAACTGGATCGGTTGGAAAGATTAAAACAATGCAGAGTGACCATGATGATTGCTGAAGATTTAATAATGAAAATGATGAAGAATAATAATGAAGGTAGTAGGTTTATAAGATGCAAAATGGTACCGATGATGACAAAGACAAAATATGATGAGTATGATGGGGACTGAGTATAAAGATGGTCATGATTATAACCTACCATACTATATAAATGCTACTGAATCGTTATAAAAAAACATAACAGAAGTATAAAATATTTCTATCCTAAAATATACAAATTAATATCTTAACCCTCATAAAACTCAATCAATATCATTGATATCTATTGCACAGTTTAAAATAATATACAATTATTACATGACTTGCTTTACCTATGGAATGTTGGTTTGGTTCTATTTCAAACGACTCTTCCCAAACATGATTTTGCAGCTAACATGACTATGGAGTGAATTATCTACCATAATACTGGATACAAATACTTGAAAATAGTTATGTTGACAAAAGCCATGCTAAGCCTATAAAGTTAAATTATAATAATTTTAACAATTTGATTTTCACTTTTATACTTGATTTGATGTGTCCATCTTTATGACTGTTTAAAAACATCTTTCTAATAACAAAATATCAGTAATTACATTTGTGATGTCTGGCAAGTTCTAGTAACATATCGGTTATCAGGGGTATAGGCAGGTTTTGGTCTGTGGATGAAAACTCATTATTAGTATTTTAACCCACTTAGTAGAACTAATTTGCCATCATGGTCCCCACCCTGCACCCCAGCTTACACCCAGGGTTATTATTGATCAAATACTGTCAAGTGAGTTGTTGTTGAATATGGACGATGCACATTCTGTGCACAAAATTTACATTTCAATTAGGATAATAATAATAGGGAGTTTTTGCAACCTTACGGAAACGATAACGAATACGTCACAAAATTTTTAGACAACCCTTCCCATACACTGCATATCTGTCACAACGTTGGTGTTTCATGCCTTTTTTATTAATTAAGGATTAATTCAGGATTAAGGATTAAGGATTGCAGCTCCACAGCATATTGTCAATAATATTTCAGGCACGAATGACGATATTGATAATGATGTATTCGTTATCGTTTTCGTAAGATTGCGAAATCTTCCTATTAGGTAGTTTAAGTTGTATTTCGATTTCGGAATATATGATGATTGATTAATGATTGATTGAATACCGGTACTAAAATTATTACTGAATAATACTGATAATATTTATGATGATTAATAATAATGATTATAGTAATAATGATAAACTGTAAAAATAGTTGTTCACAACACACAGAAAAATGGATCCATTATAATAACTATGCATGAATCATGGTATTTCCCTGTTGCTGTTTTATACTATATTGCCACCAATTTTTATCATGATTATTATTATCATTATTACTACTATCATTATCATTATATGCAGCATTTTTTCTTACTCAAACTCACACTATTTTATATATAAAGAAATGTATTGGTGAATTTTATCATCTAGATCAATTAACTATCACTTTCCATCAAGTTAAAATAATCCATAAATTCATATCATTATTTTATTTGTTCTAGCCCAAATATTTAGATTCATATTATAAACATTGCATCACAAATTTAATATAAAACCAGTTATAATTACATATTATAAGTACAGTCACTTTGATCTTGGTCACCACCATTAGATGAGGGTGTGATGATGCATGCTGGAATAGCTAAAGGGCAGACTATCTGATCCTCATTCACATGTTATGCAACGGTAATGGAGGCTCATCAACAATTGCATTCTGTACCAATGCATCACAGAGGTTAACCACAAACATCGGAGATTTATTGTTCTTATACTGAAATGAGCTGCACTCAACTAGACACAAAAACTAAAAAATTTCCACAATTTATCATCACCCTCCTCATCGTCATAAATACGCCATTGCTAGTCCATTGTTCAGGAGGTGAGAACAGTGACTGTCATCCTGTCCCGTGCGGCATTGCTGTATGCCTTGCGAATGACCTCCACCACTTGGTTGTGCGACAAACTCTGCAGTGACTGGCCATCAACTTTAACCAACTGGAAACCAGGCTATGGAGAGATGAACATGATTAACCTATTAAATGTGGCTCAACATTATAGGGACAGTGATTACTATGGTTAATTAAAAGGAATGTTATCTGAATTCACTGAAAGCAACCCAGTGAATCTAGAACCCTGATATACTTGTTTGATCAAATATATGTCCTCAGACACAATCTGATCAAACATTGCAGGCAGTCAACCAAAAAGCAGCTTTGCGCTCTGATAATAATGTCTTAATATTTAGACAAACAGACAACCTATGCTTCTCTATGATGGCATAGCCTGTAGAAGGTACAGGTTTTCAACATGAACTACAGCCTAGAAAATTTAAGATTATACCATGACAACAATTACTAGGTCTGTTATACCTGATTATTTCTATGAGGTATACAAATAAGTTTGACAAAATGTTTGTATGGCCAACTTCGTAGAGGTTCCTTGTGAAGTAAGCATTACCTGTATAAAGCCATCGTCATGGGCTGCGCCACCTGGGAATACTTTATCAATTAACACCTGTGGCTGCTGTCTGGAATCACTGCCACCTGAGATACTAATACCTGCAGCAGAATATTTAGAAGAAACTTAAACATTAAGCAGGATAATCATCACGTATCACCATTGATCACAACCATACACCACCACTACTAACATCATCATAATCAAAAAGTATCCCTACATAGTGATACTGTCAACAAAAACATAACAATAACAACATTTTCAGCAACAACAATTATAATCATCTTAATTTTTACTTATTTTAGTGTTGTATAACTGGCCTTAATTCTACTGTACTGCAGTGGGTAAATTAATGGTGAAATAAAGAAAGGATGATTAAAATAAAGAGAAAAAAAATTGTTGGTAAAAGTGTGATATAAAAACCTATATCAGTACAATTTTCATTGCTTTGTCTATTACTTTTGTGAAAATTGTTTGAAAAAAAGTTAAAATTAGTATTTTTAATATTGTTATTACTATTAACATTATTACTGTAATACAATATATTATTACTGTAAAACATGTGATTATTGTTTTTTTTTTATTTTTTAGAAAAGATGAAGAAATCATGTCAAGATGTTTGAATAGAGGTGGGTGTTTCCCCACAAAAGAAAAAAATGATCATCTTCATCATTATCACCAAATCCAACAATAGGCTTCTGCATTTTTAGGTAATTCAGAAGTATCAATAATCAACTGATTTACCTTTCTTTCAAGAAAGCATTTATATTATGTATAATATTCACCTAACGAAGTTCTTGTTTTCTTTATAACTCTTTGAACAATGCCCTCATCCATCTCACTGTTGTCACTGTGACTCGTATTAGCCTCCATCCTGGCACTGTGAATGATTGCTTTCAATGGGAATGGTTCCTCCTCGCTATTGTATCCATTTGATAGTACTGGTTTCTCAGATTTATTTTTTCTAAAATAAAATTACAAAAATAAAATCTGTTAATGGTATTATCAAAATCATCATCACTGCCATCACCATCACCATCACTGCCATAAATGCCATCACCATTGTCATCATCACCACTATCATTAATTATCATTAATATTATTTAATGTGACATCAATAACTCCTTGATCTTGATTAATTTATTATTTAAATGACTATCATTATTAAATTTATCAATTTTAACAGACTTACAGAATTCCCTTCTTCGGAGCATTAGGGGATCCATTAAATGAGAGTTTGGACTCTCTTTCAGAAAAGTATTCTTCCATGCCATCAACGCTCAGCTGCTGCCTGTCATTAAAGTCCTTGTTCTTCTGGTTGAAATCCCCAAGTGGATAGTATGGTGATGGTTTGTTATCCTGCTTGTGGAATCTTACTGGTGATGGAGTCTTATTCCTTGATCTTGCATGTAGATTAGATGATCTCTTCTCTGGCATCCCTCCCTTTAGAGTGGAAGAGGAACTTGTAGAGAATGCATCAGCATCATCTGTTACAAATTTGTATTTTCCTTTCCTGCTCATCATTTGCGCACTTGTGTCTGACTCATCACTAAACCGGAGCTCAGACTCCTCATCATCGTCATCGATAGTGGTTGGGATGTGATCAAGACTACCATCACTCTCCACACTCTCATTATCCTCTATTACGAAATCCAGTTCATCATTGACAATAATGTCAGGTGTGGTAATATATCTTGGACTAGAATCGCTATCACGTGGTGAAACCTCTGGACTGTAAAAATTAGCATTGAGTTCAAAACGAACGGCACTTCTTGGCCTCGTGTTCTCTTCACTTTCATTGGGTGCTTTTTTGGGAATATTGTCCATTCCAAAGATTGGGTTGGCTGTGAACTTGCCAGAGCCCAGACTACTGTCCAAGTCTTCAAAATTATTACTCAAGCCATTGCTTAACTGCACTACCCCCTCTTTAGGTTTCTCTTGCTTCGTTCCATCCTTTTGTCCCAATTTCTGTGATGGTCCTGTGGATGTATGGTCTTGATATGGGTTCTGAATTGACTTCTTTCTAACAATTGGTGAGACCTCATTATCATCATCTTCCTCCTCCTCACCACTGTCACTTCTTTGTAGGTAATCGCTAACAATCATTCTTTTTTGATTTTGTCTTTCTGATGTCTTTCCAGAAGATCTACCATTCTGCAGGTTTTTCACAGACTTTCTATCAGGTATAGGAGAGATCTCACTATCTTCATCTGATCTTTGAAAATAATCACTAACCTCTATCCTTTTATGTTTACCACGTGCATGTTTTGGACTTGTGCTACGATCAGCATTCATTGTTGTTGTTGATTGTTCACTGTTTCTTTCTGACAAAGTGTTTTTATTAGAATTGTGATAAATGTCTTCAGTTGGTAATGTCAATTTGAAATCTGAAGTGTTCCCTCCGATTGGACGATTATTAGATTTCCCTATAATATGACCATATGGCATTGCTCTTTCAGCATAATCATCAGCTTCCTTTTGCTCTTTCATTTTCCTCTGTATTTCTTCATGCCTTTCTTTTTTTAATCTTTCAAGTTCCTCTTTTCTCCGTTTCTCTCTGTTCATGTTTTGAGTTGTCTGCAGGTGGAATCCTCCAAGAGTATCTACAAGAAAAATATCAAAGTGAATGTACAGCAATTGTTGTATTGATGAGATGTTGCTTATCCTGTTGTTCAATCATTACTAAGACTTAATCAAGATCTAAATGATTGTAAATATATAATAAACTATTTACAAATTTTGCATGCATTTTACTTTTCTACTTACTTGGTTTTGTTTCAAGAATTGTTTTCTTTGGTGGTGCTGTTTTAGTTGATCTCCTTAACATCGGTGATTTACGAACTAATAACAGAAACAAGAACATTTGTGAAATTGGAAACATTTTTTAATAATTCAATTGACATTTTTTTGTACAGTTACATAAACATTAACCAAAATAAATGATATAATTATATATCACAATATCTACGAGAGAAATGTGTACTGAATAACTAATCAATATTTACTGTTGCTTTATTTTGGGACTTGATGACAGGCATTTCAATCACCATGTGCTCCAGTCCACTACATAATGGGTTTTCAGATATTTATATTGTCTTTTGTCACTTACTGTAGTTAGATGTGCCTGACTGGAGCTCTTCAAATGCAGCAGCCTCTCTTCTAGCCACCATACTTTCAAATCGACCCAGGTCAGTTTGGTAGAGAGTACTTCTGATCTCTCGTAATAATATCACCTTCTCTGGTTTATCGAGAATTGCTAACAATGGATGCACAAGTTGCTCTACATCGTGGTCCTCATGATACTGCGGAGAAAGTCCAAAAGGTTATGATAATCTCATATTAAGAAATTAGGATTAGAGGCAAATTGCCAATGTAGCAAACTAATTTTCATTGTTAAGTTAGTTTATGACACACAGGTAGAAGGCTGTCTCCAATCAAAGGGTGTGGGTCAAAGTCCAAAACAAGTCACAGAGCTCGGTTTCTTGGAACAAATCAGGAATTCTTATATGATTTGATAAATATTCCACTGATGGCAAACTTGGCATATAATATCCCATATTCACAAATATATTAAATTCCTACCCGTCTGATGTGTCTGACAATGGCTGTGCATTCATCCTGTGTAAGCAGTCGCTGAGCCAACTCCATCATACAGGTTATTGCAGGCTCAAAGTCAAATTCTGGTTCAGGTGAATTGCTTCTTGTGGTAGCTTGCAGGGATGCAACACTCTGCCTTCCATCACTACTGGTACCATGACTAGAGCCTAGGAGAGACAGAGGAAGCAGTATTGATTAAACGATCAGTGTTATGACTTTATTTTAGCATATGCTTACTGTAATTTCCTTTTCTCAAAATAGTATTTTAACATATTTGTGTCTCTAACAAGTATTTAAAAATACCACAAATAGAAAATGTTCACTTCGGCAGTGAACAAAGGGCCGGCTCCTTCCTGTATCTATTGTAATAATAATGCTGAAGATTTAAATAGCGTCTATTCTAAATCAAGGATCAAAGGCATTGAGTATTATTACCCCTGGTCACTGGGTAACATACAACAGAAAACCAGCACAAAGTGCAACCTTCTCTGCTACCTGGGGAGTATACCAAGTCATCCGTGTACACTTAGTGCACAAAACTAGTATAATCAATGCCACAACCTGCATACATATACCTATTTATATTCCTGAGTAGAGAGAGAGACAAACATAGATAAAGTCACTGCCTTGCCCAAGGGCAAAAGCGAGTTGCACATCAAGTTTCGAACCCTGACCTCAAGGTTGGGAATTCAGGACACAACCGATGCGCCAACCACAATGGGGATTAAGATCATCACCCTTCTACAATACCTGCTTCAACTGATCTTAGGTCACCAATACTGTTCCGCCTTACAGCCCATGTTTTATTGGCCCACGAAGGATCGGTATCAGCACGGCTCACTTTATCCAGTTCATCAAGACTTCTTGAAGTTTTTGTCTTCCGGAAACTTCCTAATGGAATACGACGTTTTACCTTGCCACTCATTGAACCTACGAAAATAAAATAAATAATTATCAGCATATCAAAATAAATTATCTGGCATGCTGTATGTAAAATTTCAAAATCAAGAATTATGTTTAGGGTACAATTTACCTGTTTTTGATTTATCTTTTTCTTTCTCTTTTCTCTTCATTTTCATTCCAAATAAAATTTCTCTGAATGTTCTATTGCGCTTCACCTTTTGTCTTTCCTTCATTTCCTTCTCCTGCATGGGCGGCAGGCTCTTTTCTAGTAGTACAAAAGAAAGTTGTTAATGATCACGATAATAACCATATAAGAGAGAGAGCAGCTTAGCTCAATCAGCTAATCTGGTGGTAGCCACTGTGTGTGCGCTGAACCGTGGAGATCTTTAGGTCACAAGGTTTAATTCCCATCGCTGCCTCTCCTTAGTGTTTCAGCTGGAGGGCTGTAATACAAGTTACAATAGCGCACTGTCTTTCAGATGAGACGTTTAAGCCGTTGGTCCTGTGTGCATTAATGGCCATGTGCATGTTAAAGAACGCAGTACACTCTTCGGAAAAGAGTAGGGGATTGTCTCCTGGTGTACTGCCCAATCACTACCAGAAGGACCCCACTGGAAATATGTCTTCTTATAGACTTTCGTGGGCCATTCCCAGTGTTTACACCGAATAAAATCCAATAAACATCGAAAGGGAATTAGTTTTTCTTAAATCCTATGCGCCCATTATGTGTTGTAGTTATTAAGTTGGGTGGCATTGCACTGAGGCTGCTACTGGTCCCAAGTGCTGATTTCCAATTTGAATGAGGAACAATAGAAAATTCTTGCAATGACATGTTGTCTAGGCAGCTATGACAACATAAACTATATCAAGATCAACAACATATTACTATAATAATATATAAAATAATATAAAAGTTAAAAATATTTTAGAAAAGAATTAAATATATTTGTTACGATATATTGCAAGCAGGGTGATAGTCAGGAAGAAGCATGTACTACAACATGGTATATGTGCTCAAATTATGAAATCAAATGTGAAAGAATTTAAAGGCAGAGAGCTATTTCTGAGCTTTTTTTTTTTAAATAGTGTAAACTTTATTTAACAGCAAGCTACTCCACCGATTACATGAATCAAATAAAATATGCTTCGGGTGTGCAGCATTTGCTAGAACATAGACCTTAACACAGTCATATAGTAGCTACAGCTTCTAGGGGGCTTAAGTAATTAATTGTTTGGAACAATTTAAGCTTCTCACACTAGATATTTTTCCAACCCTAATTGGAAATGCTTACATGTTTAATTCTCAAAATGTTCCAATGAAAAACATGAAAAATTTAAATAAAGTTTAAAAAACATCTAGCCTACACACTGTTCACAGTTAGGAAGTGTGAATAGTGTGTAGTAGGTTACTACACTGCAGTCAGCATGTTTTGCAGTTAAAAAAAGGATAGTTTGAGGGGGAGAAAAATCAATACTAGGTGAGAAAGGAAAATGTCTATGTTCTTCCTGGTTTGTATCTATTTGTAATATGTACACCGACTGTTTTTTTCATAATTTCCAAATATTTGTTATAGATTTTTCTTTTTGTCAACATAACAATATAGCACTGCAGCTAAATAAATGTACATTAAAAATAGTGTAAATAAAAAAGCAAACATACAGAAAAAGATTGAGAAATAAATATTTATGAATTTAGGATTGTAAAAAAAAAAAAGGAAACATGGATTAATGATGCAAGTAAAGGGGGCAATGTGTGTGGGGGGGGGGCCAGGGAAAATCAATACTAAGTAAGAAAGGAAAATGCCTATGTTCTTCCTGGCTTGTATCTATTTGTAATATGTACACCAAATGTTTTTTTCATAATTTCCAAATATTTGTTATAGATTTTTCTTTTTGTCAATATAACAATTACATATTATAGCTTAGCACTGCAGCTAAATAAATGTACATTAAAAATAGTGTAAATAAAAAAGCAAACATACAGAAAATGATTGAGAAAATGAATATTTATGAATTTAGGATTGTAAAAAAAAAAAAAGGAAACATAGATTAATGATGCAAGTAAAGGGGACATTGTGTGTAACGTGTCACTACAGGTGGGAATGTAGGGCTGCAGTTTTTGGAATCTGCAGTTTTTGGGAGGGGGAAATGCACATGTACTGCCCCTTCTGGACCTGCTACTGATTTATGCACATCAATATTATGTTAGCTCTAAGATCTCATAATCTACTTACCACGGTGAAACATTTGCACCTCTTATGATCACAGTAAATGAAAATGTTTAAAATTAGAAATATTAAAATACTGTTGGTCTAATGAAGATAATTGGAGATCTAGGTATCGGAATGGTAGGGATGTTCTAAGTAATATGTAGAAGCTATGCGAGGCCAATAGGCTGTTGTTGGTGGAGTCACTTTTCTACTCCAAGAGGCAAAGTTTTTATTAAACAATTTTCATGCTAGAGTTTATGCTAAATCATAGATATATGCATATTAGATAAATGTGGGAAAACTTTCACCTTAGCAGATTTATAATTTTAAAGATATGTATATGAACATTGCACTTGCTTATTAAATTATTGAATAGTATTTTAATATAAAAATTGATGACAGGGACAATGAGAAAAATTCTTTAAAAATTATTTGTACCTCCAGGATGTTTCATACTGTGAGAGCGACCTAGGCTGCGCTTTTCACTTTTCAAGGCATGCGTTCCCATAACAGGCTGATTCCGAGATGGTTGTACACTCTTAGATGATCCACTGTCTGCATGGTCTGCAGCTGCTGAAATTTCTTGGTGAGTTACTGCTGGTGGAGGAATGGCCTGAATCTAAAAACAAATTCAACAAATTTATCATATTTAACGAAAAATGTAAAAAAAAAAATGAAGGTTATTAGTCTAAAACAAGAGTCTAAAGGTCAATCACACTATTAACTTTTATGTGACAAATGTGTGTGAATTTCACACATATGGATATGACAATATCATATTATACCCGTATTTGTCCCATGACTATTTATGGTGTGGATTACCTTTACATTTTACTTCAAAAATTACATTGTATAAATTACAGGCTAGTATAAAAAAAACAATTGCAAATATGCTTTATAAGAAATTAAGTTGTTAAAATGAATATCAAAATATTAATTAAAATGTTATTATCTTTACCTGTGTAGTCGAGGTAGTTTGCAATGCTGCGGGATAATTCTGTGAGGTTGCGGAGTACGGAGGTGGTTGAGATTGCCGTCTTGGCATATTTATTACTGCACTTGCCGCTACCCCCTCTGATAATCTTTCAAAATGTTTGAGGTCACCAGTTGAAGCCACTCTCTTGTACTGCGGCTGCTGTTGCTGCTTTACACCTAAATGACTATTTTGAGAAGAAAGTCTATTCATACCAGTATTAATGCCATCATTTGATGGAATTCTCTGTGCCACCCCTCCTTCGTCTAATGGAGGAGTCTGAGTAAAGCGTTCTGTATGGTCCATTGGTACTTGCATGCTGGAACCATTTGCATATGCGGGTATCAGAGGTGGCATCTTCGGTGAAGAACGTGACTGTGGACCTGAAAGAAATTTGAGTCATTCAATTTTAGTCAATGTTTGAATTGATGATGGTACTTCTCATTATATCATTATAGTAACAATTATAACAGTAATATAAATAATTCAATTTTTTAAATAAGGTAAAAATGGATACATATTAAGTTAAGTGGATGGACAAGCAGTTAAGGCAGGGGCACTGCAAAGTACAGCCATAATACTGGCACTGCTTCAACGGTATGGTCGCCTATGTTTCTGGTGGTGGAACAAGTCTATTCGGATAAGGAATATAAACCGTAGTCTATAGGCCTAGTGTACGTAACTTAGCCCATGTGCGATTTAAAGAATTCAGTATATCTTTTGAGACGAGTAGGGAGCTACCCAGGTGTACAGGTCCATTCAGCCATGTTGTGGACAAATGAGAGTAGATGGTACCGGTTTAATGGGTAGATCAGACATGAAGACACCCTTAGGGGGAAACAAAGTAACTGCAACAGTTAGTCCACACGTCAAGCACTACATTGCATTCTTACGTTTATTTTTCTTAATCGGTTGTTCATTCACCCAACTATACTCTGCCACCATCTCTTTATAGGCCGGATATCTGTTTACTGTCCTTATCGTCATTATAAGATGGCGCTGGTTGCGTAGGAAATCAATCGCCCGAACATGTGATATGTTGAGAAAACTTTCGCCATTTACATTCACAATTTGGTCACCTACTTGGATCCCACTATTCTTTGCTGCACCATCTGGATCAAGTCTATCAGAAATTAACAATATTTAACATTTTCAACTTTTAATATGACAGCATATATTGTTGTTAAATTTCCATTAAGATTGAACTAAAATAACATCAGCATTTACCTGGATGTTTCAAGCATATATTGTTTATACAGATGTATATATTATATGTCAGGTTAAATATAATTGTATCAAGAAAGCTTTCTTGAAAACTATTTCTATTACCAGTTAAAAGGGAAATTTTTAGTTTTATTGTATATGGGAGCCTTAAGAAGCAACATTCACAGGGTGCAATAATCTCCTGCCTGGGATGTATTCTATTCAAGTAATATGAGCCTCCACACACAGACAATACCCTTCCAGATACTAATTTAACTCCCTGGGTGGAGGAATTAGGCCCTGTTAAGATTGAACTTTTAATGGTGGTACATTTAGGCCTAGGCAAATTTACCTTTCATAGGTTATCACCAAGGCTTAACTCTTCATCTCTTAAGTAGAAATCAAAAACAGCACACAGACATAACAGAACATGATAGTAATTGAATTGGTCCGTATACTAAAAGACAACACATATCATTTGTTTGGCTTGTTTTGACCACATAACAAAAACATTTTTCATATTGCAGGTGTGTAAGCAAGACAAAAACGAACAGATTGAGCGTGCTGCACAGCGCAGTGCTTGGGCGATTTCATTATCCGAAAAGAGTATATAAAAATGAACTTTTTTAAACGATCAATCATTTAGTGAAACACTTTTAAAAATACATTCTCAATTTATGCATAACACTGTAGAAATAAGATATGTCCACTATCAAGCATAATCATTTAATCAACTTGATACAGCAGGTACCATATTTTTTAAAAATTTGCTTTCTGTTGCCCCTTCAACCTAAAGTGATCAGATTAGTGTAGCAAAATTATGACATTATAAAAGAAATGAACCCTCATGAGCCAGCTCAAATCCCGCTGAAAACACACTAATATCACCTATATTTTTGTAATTTAAACCCAATAATGACGGGGCCAAATATTTGAAAACAAGTATTTAGTAAATTTTTTGCAATAGCTTTATTTATAATCTTCTATAAACCATTTCAACCCAATTTATCAGACCTCTAGTTTTTTTTCTAGGCTTTTGTAGTAAAATCAGTCAATGTTTTTGAAGAAGCTCTAACGGTTACGAGATAGGGTGATTTTCACGGCGGTGCGTTTGCAGTAAAGTAGGCCAAACAAATTGATATGAATTTTCAGAGGATGAGATATGCAGAAAGGTATATGTACTTACTTTGAGACATAGATTCCCAAGTCATATTCACTGCCACCCCTTAAGTTAAAGCCGATGCATTGTCCAGGTGCAAGCTTGATAATAACTCTTCTCTCGCCAGCATCTTGCAACATCCTTGTACCGGACATGTTGAATCGTGGCGGTGTAGGCTGCCCATCCTCATTCTGGTCTGTTATGGTTCGTTCAACAGTGTCATACCTTAAGAATACAGCAAAACTTTGCATCTAATTTCTGATTATTTAATCTTGGTCACATATGTTGTGCTAAGTCAACAAATCCTCAAAATGTTTGACAAACTTTGAATACACACTGTCAGAAAAAATATCTGATAGTGTTATGCCTGACATTAGTTTATCATCGATTACATTGCTCCTAGTTTTAGAGTAGTTTATGGTTTATTTTTCACATTTTCAATCTTATTATTTGAAAGTTTACAGTCTAAGATTCAATAAAATGTTTTCATGATATAAAACTATGTTGGTCATTACCATGAAGTCTTTTCTCGTGCGTACTTGAAGCCTGGTACTTTGCCCGTTCGTTTCACCTTCATGCGTAATCTGTTACTCCCCTGGAGCACCATTACTGCACTGCTGGTGGCGATGTTCTCAAAATTCACATTATTCACTTCAATCAATTGATCGCCCACTTCTAGACCATTCACATCTACATATGAAAAGAAATCAATTAAAGATAAACCAATCATGGTTGGGTAAATAATTATCAGCACAAATATCGTCTGCTCATTATTTATTATGTTTCAAAATGTCATCTGTTTGTTGTCAGTCATCTACTAACATCTGTTTTACCTCCCAGCTTTTCTGAGGCTGATATACATATTAAACTAGTCCTGAATTGCAATCCAAATTGATGTGGCTATGACATTAGCTCAGAATAACTGATAGAGTATTAGTGAATTAATTTTAAAATAATATTAACTGATGCCATATTATTTCATGTGATGACATTGTTATTATAATCACCATACTATTAATGACCATAAAACTGTTATTGTTTAAAGTTTGCATGGCAAAGTAATAATATATATTAATAATATCTGCTATTATTCTCCTAAAGACAATTGAAGCAACTCAATCGAAAGTTAAGACATCCTCAACCAACAGCATTTCTTTTTAGAACTATCTAAGTGGTGTACCACAAGCATTAATATATATACATAAAATTGTTCATAAAGAATTTCTCCATTCTACATCTTCATGAAGTAGGAACAAATATTTACTGTAACCGATCAACCTGCCACGACGTTAAAGAGTGATTCTACAATGGGCTGGAAAATCCAAAGCTCTCTAATTGATCATAATTGACAGATCTGTCAAAATGTCATGTTTGATTAGCTAAGGTACAAGCTTCTTTGCCATTTTATTATATTTACTGATCGTTAATATTAAGCAAATAATCTTTTCTATTGATATTTAACCAGAACAAACCCTGTGTACCCCTATTCAGAACGAATGCTTCCCTTCCAATTTTCCACAAAGTAAATTATTGTTACTGATTGTCAGAATATATTCCACAATGGAACATTATTTAAATAAAAAAATTACCTCTTATTAGTATCATACCTATGCACTGACATAGTATTCCAAATAACATCAAAAAGGAAATTAAACTAATTACTTTTTAAATGCTAAAATAATCAATATTTTCTAATTTTTTAGTTCATTTTCAATCTAATTTTACTGCTACCTTTAACCTAGATCACAGTAAAAACTAGTGCTTTTATTTTGGATAGCATGCTAAATCATGCTTAAAGCCTCTTGCTTACCTGCTGGTGAGCGATGATCAACAGAACTGACAAATATTCCTAGGCCGTGTTCTGAGCCACCTCTGATGCTAAAGCCGAGACTTCCCTGCACCTTCTGAATGGTAACGTGGCAAAGGCTGGAGGGAGAATGCTGGCCGACATGTACAGATCCTGCAAAGATATAAATAACAATTTAAAAAAAAAATTTGCTGGAAGATAATAATTGCAAGATATATGGAATGATGTAATGATGAATAATAATTAGCTTTATTTTAACACAGGAAAACTTGTTTCATCTGTGAAATTGTTTTAATGTATTTACATTTTCATAATTAATTTCATCCCTTTCTTAGAAAATGTTTTACTGATGTTGCCTCCCACATGCCTCCATAAGTAAACTAATTTCAATTTTATTCAGTATATCAGTTTACCATTCTGATATCCTTCTAAGAAGCCCACATGCATTTATGATTTCATAATCAAAATTTTAATTGTTTTAAGTATTTCTGAATTTTGCTCTTTGAAAGTCTAAACCATTATTTTTTATTATTTAACATTAAAAATAATAGTAATAATAATAATAATAAGAATAAGGATTTATAAAGCGCAAAGATCTCCACCAAAATAGGTGCTCAAGTCGAGTGTCTAAAAAAGAATAGTAGAAAAACAAACAAAAATACAGAAAACAAGAAAAATGTAACACAAGAATCATCATTTTATTTACATTATAAAATTACTATTATTTGTATTTATTTTGCAAATGTCTAAATTATTATTTTTTATTATTTAACAATACATTATAATCAGTAATATTATTACAGTATATTATTTTCATTATCATCATCATTATAATTATAATCAGATCATTGTAATTAACATCGCACAGTTTGAGGGGTTTTTTTTTTAATGTTCAGCACAATATGAATTATATTACATCATCATGTTTCATTAGCATGTAGATACTATATTATGCTTCGTCCATATAATGTACTATTGGCAAATGCATTCAATTTCATTATTTGCTTCAGAGCCTGTTGTTGACAACAGATGGATATATTATAAATTGCTATAATCTAATCAACACATCTATTCTTGGTGGAGAGAAAGGAAAGTGTTGCGATCTGAATCCCAACCTGATATTTAAAGCTACTTAACCCAATATTTGAAAGGAGAAACATAATAAATTGTTTATTTGGCCTAAAAGCATAACCTTAATGTACAGTACATTTATTACAGTATACACATAAATTTTCTAAAATTTCATCATTCATTAATTCTTTATTTGTACTAAAATAAAAAAAAACCTTGAGTACAGGATAACCGAAAAATGTCGTAAGAACATATACTTATTTCCATTGCCCAGGTCCATTATTAACATTTTTTAAAGAATAAAAAATCACTTAAATATTAATAAATTCAATTGATTGCCTGAACAAATTTTCATATTTATTACCAACAGCTGAATATAATTATAAGCTTATTGACAACAATCAAAATCATTGAATTACAAATGCTAATTTGCATATTGATTTCTCTCAATGAACAGTTGTGTCTCTCTGATGACAGTGTAATAATACTTGATTTCTGGCACCTGGGTAAGGCACCTTTGATTATTGTAAATGTAAAATATTATTAGTCAGAGTGAGTCATAATTAAATATGATCTTAATCAGTAGATTTATGATCTCATGAGTAATAATCACTACATCATCAGCATGTGATCATTATCTGAAATTTTAAAAGGGCTGCAGCTTAAAGTTTTCTTAGTGCAGTGCACAAGGCACGCTCATTGCCATCCATAA